TTCCACCAACTCTTCCAATTGGCATGCCATTGTTGACTAAACATAAACCAACACCTTCACAAACATTTTCGGAGAGTTCGAGCATCAACGATAACTTTCACTGCCTATTGGAGTTTCCAGCCAATGGGGTATGAAATGCTTCTTTGTTACACAATTCAGCAATTGTACAGCAATTTCTACTTTCTAGCATTTCTTCAGTCATCCACTAGATATTTGCACAATGCATATTCTTCTGCTAGCAGTTTGTTTCATCGTTAACTGTCATTTAATTCTTCTTCGGCTATACATACTTGTACAGAATCATTTTAAAGTTTCTTTAGATTTGACTCTAAATTTTACAATTTCCAAGTATAAGAAACTCGTCCACAAGTATAATAACCAACTGTTCTTGAACTTTAGAAATTTAAAAGCACCAAACCTGTCCTGCTTTGATGAAAGAAGGTCCCAAATCACACAACAGAGTCCTCAGCTGCCGAGCACGGAAAGGAACAACTTCTTCGTCACGGCCCACCAAATAATCATACACCAATGTAGTCCAATAGAGCCCCAAATTCCAAACAATCTCTATTCCTCTACCAACCAAAGATAAAATCTGTCCCCTTGACTCTAACACCTTGTTTCTCACCTAAAAACACAAATTTCCAATAAACACACAAAATTGAACATAAGACAAGCCCTTATCAAGAAAATGAATGCATAGGACTAGCACACCAACTCATACTTAATTTTCCAATATATCTGCTAAAATGTTACAAAAATTAGAGTAAATAATTATTGAGAGGTAATTCATACATTACTAATCAATAAATCAACAAAAGTAAAACAAAAAAAAAATCAAATAATCACAATGATCTTAATCAGATATACAAATTTAATTCTCCAATATACCCAAAAAATTAACCAAGAAAGAGCAAATAACTTTCGGGAGGTTATTCACATACTCCATATTTTTCCAATAAACTAACAAAAATTATCAAAATAAAAACTCAACTAATCAGGGGGTTCCAAGGTTTTTAAGCAAAACCAATTTCTCATAATACAAGCTTAATTTTTCCGGACAACCCCACAAATACACAAAAGAAAACTAGCAAATAATTACCAGAATTCTATTCACATACGTAAAATCAATTTTCCAGCAAACAATCAACTAGGAATAATTTTAAAATAAAACTGTTTCTAAATACAGAAAATGTCATCCTTTTGTTGGACAGACTAAAAAAGTCTAACAAGGACAGTTGTGTGGCTATAGAAAAGATGGGCAAAATGTGTTTAAGATTAAGCTGTTTCTAAATATAGAACCTGACATGACGAACTAAAAAGGAAAGAGTGACATTGACATACAGATTCAGGGGAATATTTGCGAAAGGGAACGCAAACACCACGTTCAAAATCAAGTTGCTCCAAAGCGCTAATCCTAGATATGTTCTTCACTTGTAAAGCATCACTTTTCTCTGTAGGAGAAACACTACTCACTGCACAAATTCTTCGGTTTTTTTTAATGGAATTCAACAGTTTTCTTCTGCTTTTGTACTCAATTGATGGGGTTATTGAAGAGTACAAGCAACTAGTGCAAATTCCCTCCATTTTCTTTTAATTTTGGAGCTCAAAATCAATAAGATAATATGGTGAAATTGAAGAGGGTATTGGGATTTTACATATATAATTATTAGGAAGAAATTGATTGAGAGAGAGTTGTATGTATATATGTATGTATGTGGTTTTAAGTTACAAGAAGTCATGCAAGTTGGAAAGTTCCGGCAAAAAGTGATGACCACATATTGCGTTGGTGATCAGAAAGATGGAAACTCAAGTAACTAACTAGCTTTCCAAGAAGTTGTACGGTATGCTTGGAGCGTTGAACCCAGTTATTTCTGGGTTAGTTTTTCACTTTTCTGTGGCAGCAAGTAAATTTCAGTAAGAGGGTTTCTCTAATTAAATAAGACATAATAAGTTGGTTCCATATTACGACAAACTTTGGAGGCTGGAACCAAAATGATGCAAATTTGGAGTCAAGGCACAAAAAAAATATTGATGACTTTTTTATTTATAGCGCATGTGTTGAATGCACTGTACATTAACGGCCAGCTACCCCGTTAAGGTATAGCGCATGTAATACATGTGCTATGCTTGATGTTAGCCCCTCGGCTTAATTGATCGAATATAACATAGGCGTGACGAGAGATTTACAGGATGGACCTCGGCACGGCCCTATGATTACTATGGCATCATGTTGACAAGGCTATCTGATATGGGCAGGTGTTGATGGGCATGGACTATAGCATGACGGCATGTGGCTAAGGTACCAAGGCATGACAAGACTATGACATTTGCGTGGTCATGGCAAGGTAAAGACAACGGGCAGCAGAAGCATAGCAAAGGCTGGAAAAACTAAGGCAAGCTAAGGCAGGCGTGGCAAAACAGATAGGCGCGGGCAAGGCAGTGTCATGGGCGAGTGGCAGTGGCAGACATGCGGGCAAGGCATGCTGCACGAGGTCTTGGCGTGAAGACATGACAGAGTTGGCCTGTTGGCGCCAAAATTCACAGGTTGCGGTCATGTGCCACGCACATGCAAGGCAGTTGGGCAGTTTCCTATTTTGAGCATTGAGTGGCTATCTGGGGCTGTGGGCAGTTGTTTGTTTGAAATTCGAAATTTAAAATCTCTTGCAGTTGGGGATGTCAACTGCCAGGTTTTGGATAGGGATGTCAACGTTGCCTATATATGTTAGGATAGGCAAACTTGTCAAGGCAGAGTGTTAACTGTTTTTGACTCCTTTTTGTAAGGTTGATTGTATGTGTTCTTTGTAGCACGAGTTTAATACAAAGTTGGGAAGAAATTCGTATAAACTGTGTGCCTTGTCTGATTTCTATATGCTGTCATAATCTAAGTGTTAAGACAAAATGTGAAGGAAAAAGAAAGAGGGTTGAGTCATTGTTATGTGACTGTCGTGCAGTGTCAATACAAAAAAATGACCTTGTAACAACTGGTATCAGAGCAATGTCGACAAGATCTTGGAATTATTATAGGCTGGAAATGCAGAACTTCGTGAAAGACTTCAGAAATTGGAGGCACTAGTGGGAATTACTGGTGACGTAGTAGATCTGGTGGATATTCTGATGCAGATCAATGGCATTAACACAGAACTTCAACACGTTCGTGAGAGTGTTGATACCCAACTGGTGGAATTGCAGGCTTTCTAGGAAACTGCTGCAGAACAATTGGAAAGATTACAAAAGGAGAACGGGGATCTTAAAATGGAAATTCAGATCCTCCGACGAACTGTTGCAAATGTGCCCAAGGAGGTGAAGAACATACCAAAATTAAGATTCCAGAGCCAAAGGCATTTGATGGCGTGAGAGGCGCCAAGGAACTGGAAAACTTCTTATGGGAGTTGGAGCATTACTTCTCTACTGCTCACGTCCTGGAGAAGGACAAACTGACTATGTCAGTTCGTTATTTCAGAGGAGATGCATGGTTGTGGTGGCGTACGAAAAATACAGACGATGTAAGTGCTGGAAGACCCAAGGTTGATACTTGGGAGAAACTTCGTGATGCGCTGAGGGAAAAGTTCCTGCCTAGCAACTCGTCTTCGGTTGCTAGGGATCGTTTGAAGTAGTTAATATAGACTGGTTCTATTCAGGACTATGTCAAGGATTTTTCATCCTTGTTTCTGGACATCCAAAACATGTCGGATGAGGATAAACTACACAATTTCATTTCCGGAATGCAGGGTTGGGCACAAAACGAAATTCATAGGCAGAAAGTTAAAGACCCGCCTAGTGCAATTGTGGCAGCGGACGCACTGGTGGATTTTTGCTCAACTGGTCTAACTTCTGATCCTGCCTCTTTTTCTATGTCAAAGAAAAAGGAGAATAGTAAGGACCGGAAGAAGGACAACCAGAAGCAAGATGGAAATGACAAAGGCAAAGGCAAGATGGATGCTTCTTCGTCAAAAACAAATAGGCCAATGGGTGGTGAAAAGGTTTGATGGACATATCAAAAACTAGACATTATGCATGAAACTGTCCAAATCAAGGAAAGATAAATTCTCTTCTTGCCGAATAGGAGAAACAAGGAAAGTGATAGGAAGTTGTTGTCTATGTGAATCTGTTGCTGCTGTTGAACACTTTGCCTTGTGTAATGTGGCGGATAATGAATAAAATGCTGCCAAGGAAGAAGTTGCATATATGAATGCTACGGGGGATGATTTGGCCGATGCTTATTCCACACTAATGTATGTGGATCTGAAAATCGGAAACAAGAGTGTCGTGACAATGGTTGATACCAGAGCCACGCACACCTTTGTTGCCTCCAAAATTGTTCAAGAGTATGGGCTGCATGTGACAAAGTGTCCACCGAAGATGAAGGCTGTGAATTCAGAGGCGTATTCTGGTTATGGGGTGGCACTGGATGTCTCAATGCTATTGGGCCATTGGTCTGGAAAGTTCAATATGACTGTTGTGCCATTGGATGACTTCAATGTGCTATTGGGAATTGATTTTCTGAAGAAGAACAAAGTCGCTCCAATTCCCCATTTGGATGAACTTATGTTCATGGGGGAGATAAACTCCAGCTTTGTGAAAGGTATTTGGCCTTACGGGGATGAAAGAAAGAATGTTGGGATTGCTGCTTTGATTTCTGCCACTACATTTGAGAAAGGCTTGAAGAGGGGTGAGGAGACTTACCTCGTTGCACTCGTTGAAGTCAAGCCAGATGTGTAGATTGAGGTCCCAGGTTGTGTTGTTGATTTGATGAAAGAATTCAAAGATGTTATGCCTCCAGAATTGCCAAGGGAGTTACCACCAAGGAGGGAGATTGATCAGAAGATTGAACTTATTCCTGGATCACTGCCGCATGCGCGGCCTCCTTACCGCATGTCGTCAATGGAACTAACTAAACTAAAGAAGCAATTGTCTGAGTTGCTTGATGCTGGGTTAATTCAACCATCGAATGTTCCATACGGTGCTCCTGTTTTGTTCCATAAAAAGCAGGATGGTACATTACGGATGTGTGTTTACTATAAGGCGTTGAACAAGGTGACTACCAAAAATAAGTATCCGGTCCCTTTGATTCAAGATCTACTGGACAGGCTTTCGAATGCTAGTTATTTTACTAAGTTAGACCTAAGGTCAGGCTATTGGCAGGTTAGGATAGCCGAGGGGGATGCCCCTAAGACCACTTGTGTAACTAGATATGGTAGCTTTGAATTTCTTGTAATGTCGTTTGGGCTAACCAATGCCCTGGCAACTTTCTGTAATTCAATGAACAATGTTCTTTACGAGTATCTTGATGACTTTGTAGTTGTTTACTTAGACGACATAGTCATCTATAGACGGACCGTTGACGATCATTTTTCTCACTTAAGGAAAGTGTTGGAAAGACTTAGAGCCTATCAACTCTATGTCAAGATGGAGAAGTGTTAATTTTCAAGTCACGAGATAAAGTTTCTAGGCCATTTGGTTAGTGAAAACCAAGTGCGGAGTTGATTGGCAAGCACCAAGCGGGATAAAGGAACTTAGATCATTTTTAGGCTTGGAAAATTATTACCGGAAGTTCATTGTATGCTATTCAATAAGGGTTGATCCTTTGATGGATTTGCTGAAAAAGAATGTCAAATGGGTTTGGTTGGATTCGTGTGACAAGACTTTCAATGCATTGAAGTAGGCAATTGCAGCCGAACCAATCTTGAAGCTGCCAGATTTTGATTTGACATTTGAAGTATATACAGATGCTTCAGATTATGTTGTTGGTAGTGTGCTGGTCCAGGAGGATCATCCGGTTGCATTTGAAAGCAGAAAGCTAAACGTGCGGAGCAACGTTATTCTGCACATGAAAAAGAGATGGTTGCAGTAATTCATTACCTTCAAGTTTGGAGAGTCTACTTGCTGGGAACAAAGTTTGTGGTGCAGACGGACTACCTACTTCAAAACTCAATAGAAATTGAGTCTGAAGCATGCCCAGTGGCAAGAATTCTTGGTTGAGTATGACTTTGTTTGGGTGCACAAACCTGGAAAACAAAATCAGGTTCCCGATGCACTTAGTCACAAAGAGGTATTTGCTGCAATTTATGCACTTACTTGAATTGAATCTGATTTTCTAGATACAATCAAGTTATGCGTTGTGAATGATCTATTGTATATGAAATTGATGGATCAAATGAAAGACGAGACAGTTAAGCGGTATTGGATCGAGGACGATCTGCTGTAGTTTAAAGGGGGGAGAATTGTGGTTCCTCAAGTTGCTGGATTGCGCCGTTCTCTTCTAAAGGAGACATATGATACTCCTTAAGCTAGTCATCGGGGTGTTGAAAGGATGTTGGTGTTGCTTTCTCGGAATTACTTTTGGCCGAAAATGGAAGACGATGTTGAGGCCTATGGGAAAATTTGTCTAGTTTGTCAACTTGACAAGACTGAACGAAAGAAGGAAGATGGTTTACTAAAACCTCTACCGATTCCGAAGTGTCCATAGGCTTCTGTTACTATGGACTTTCTCAGCAGGCTTCCAAAAGTTGATGGCAAAGCATCAATTATGGTGGTGGTAGACATATTCTCAAAGTATGAAATTTTTGTTGCTACTCCAACTGTGTGTTCTTCCTAAGTAGCTGCTGAATTATTCTATAAGTTGTTGTGAATCACTTTAGGGTTCCAAGGGATATTGTGAGTGATTGGGATGCAAGATTACAGGCCGATTTTGGACTGCTGTGTTTAAATTCTTGGGGACTGATTTGAAATTCTCGACTGCAAATCACCCACAAACCGATGGGAAGACCGAGCGTATCAATCATCTACTTAAATAGTACTTGACGCAGTA